CACACACACACACAACAGATTTATGTAGCTCTTGCTTCCTGTGTTCCCAAATACACACTTGTAGAAAACCCTGCACACACTGCAGAAAGGGAAACTTACTGATTCAAATTGTTGGATAGTTTTATTTTTCACAGTCCACAGACAAATGCATCTGAATTACATTGTGGTATCCCATATCCCCGAAGACAGTCTATTGCAGGAGGTATCTTCTGTCTTCTTCAGCAGGGTTGGTTTTTTACAAGGGGGTGGGGGAGGGGCTGTGATTCTTTGCTCTGTGTTGTGCAGAATATTTTGCCAGTCTCCTTTCTCTTCACATAGTTTTCGCCTCCAGTCCAGGAGTTCCTGCAGAGCAGCACTCTCATTGTCTGAAAGCCTCAGATGCTGGATAACCTGTAAGTGAGAAGGAAACAAAAAGAAGTCTATATATAAAGTTAGCTTTCCCAAAGATGTAAAACTAATGCTTATATAGCAAAATTTTCAGTGCAGGAAACTTCATCCTCTTCTGCCCACATTAGGTTTACACATAGATTGTCAAAATCACCCATCCCCCCTGGGCCAAATCTAGACCATGGAGGCTCCTCATGGGTCAGACCCAGGCCCACCTCAGACAGTGGGGTGTGATGGCAGAAGTAGAGCAAGTGTAGACTGGGCAAGTGGTGTCAGGGAACTGTGGGGGTTAATTCAGCCATTGCTCACTCTCCCACCACTGACAAGTATTCCCAATGGCCTCTCTAGGAGCCACTCTTGCTGGATCAGGCCATCTGTTTGACACCCTTGGTTTACACGAATGTGGCTACTGATTTTATTGTAGTTCCTCCCCATCACGTAGATCTGAAACAAATGGAAACGCACACCCCAGGTTTTTCCTTTTTCTGTAAAGGACTCATGCATACATCATGTTGTCTATATAATAGTAACTTCACAAAAATACTCATATATTGAACTCCTGATTGTATTTTAATACTGAATGATCGCTCCTCCAATGCAAGTGTTCCCTACTTAACCAAGTCCATCTATTTTTTGTACCATAAACTGGTGAAGATTGAAATCTTATAATCTACTACAGCTTCTGGGTTTTGCTGGTTGCCCTTTCACATCCATTTCTGCTATGTGTGTTAGGGTGTTTTTAAGTCTTCCTCAGAGGTATTAGGTGTTGGCTTCAGCCAAGGCCGGGGACTTTGACAGGGGTGTACCAATACTCCTGGAACTTAAAGACAGAGGTTCCTGCCTAGAGGGTCTTGCCCCTCCACTCAGGGTCACACTGATTGCCGTACTTGGGGTAAGGAAGAAGATTTACCCTATGATCAGATTTGTGTGGATGGTGGAGGTTTTTGTCATCCTCTGTAGCAGGGGTATGGCCTTCTAGTTGGGATCTCTTGAGTGTTTGCTAAAACCTTTTACAGAAGCAGAACATTGACTGCCATGGTTCCCCTGGCTTACCTGTGGCAAGTTAGGGTGCTGTGTATTGCGTTATGTTAGGGTTGATGGTTGTTTTACAAAAAATTTAGTTCATGGATTTATACAGGATGGTTTAGATAGGGATGATCCAGGCAGGGAGCTCAACTAGATGGCCTCTGAAGGGCATTCCAGCCCTACTTTGTACGAATCTGTGATTCTACTAGCCAATCGCCCTTCAAGAATGACAGGGGTGGAGGGAGGGGCTGGGATGGAGTGCTGCCACCTAACACCCCATGCTGCCACTGTTCTGCCTCTTGCACGGAGCGGGGTGGGGGAGCCGACACCAGCAATGGTCCTCTCAATGGTGAATAGTTGGTGACTGCTCTCATTTCATTATATCCAACTAACCAGACAGATGATATGGGGAATTTGAGGTATCTAAGGCCAACGGCCTTCAGGAGTCTTGATGGAAGGACAACAAGAGAATCCCTTGTCAACAGCGTTAAGTAAAGTATTATTTCAAATGTATAGCTTTTTTTAAGCTTGTAGAACCTAGATGAAACCATTCCCAATGATACAGTTTGGTTAGTAGCATTCTTCTCATCAGCTGTTTTACACCTTTGAGACATTGTTTATCAGCCCTGTTAAAATGAATTAATCCTACATTATTTGACTTGGATTCAAGTAATAATCTAGGTAAGTGACTAGCATCTCATATTATTATGAAGCTATAGATAGATAATTATGAGAGACAATTAGTGGCTCTCCCTTTTAGAAATTAGAAAGTATATCACCTTGTGAAATAATTTAGGTGATGGTACACCTATTCTCTACTATATTTGAAATATCAAACAACATTAGAGTCGCTATTATCTGTGATGAGCAAATGCCGGTCCCAAAAATGCCTCTCCTACTTGGAAATTTAGAAAATAAAAAATTTATATTTGAAATAAACAGAAGAAAATCAAATGTGATTTAATATAGGCACAGACATCTTCCTTTCAACTGTATCAAATCTGAGAGTTATGGGCCTCAAGATTTGCAACAGCAAAACACTTACAAGGAATACTGTTATACAGCCAAAAGCAAGTGCACAGAATGAGTTGTAGTCTTTAGACCTCATTTTTAGGATGTTATCAGGGAATGCAGCTGTGTTCTCAGCAGTACTGTCTTAGGCATGGTACTCTGCAGCTGCAAGGGAGCAGGATTTGCCCCTAAACATACATACCTCAATAGCTATATGTAATTGCCTTAGTTAGCTATCATTAGAGATATGCTAGAGATAAGTACTAGACATATAATTAGAGCCAAGTGATTTCTCCCCCCTCCCTCTCCACCATGAATACATGATTTTCAAAAGCATAGTTTTGGTAATTCATGTTGAATTGCCTAAATAGTTTTAGTGTTAGATTCACAAAACCACCAAGGAAGAGATGATCTTCTACCTGTTCCATTCTTTTAAAAGTGCCTAAATAATCCTTATGGTGTGTACACTGATAGTAGGCTTGGGAGTCATTCTCACTGGCTAAATGGATATTTAAACATTTTATATAAAGTGGAACAGCATTGGCAGGAGAGGCTCAACACATTTCACCCTACAGCATGGTGATTAGGGCATTATTCTGTGCAATGAGTGATATGGAGTTAAATTTCTTTGGGCACATGCTGGGTGAGTAGTTTCCATGCAAAAGACAAAAGTGGCCCCTGTAGCTCCATCTTTTCTCTAGAGAAGTGACTAAAACAGGATTTCTGCCATCGGCATCTCCTTTTATTTTTACTGGAGGGGCCCTAAGATTATGGATGTAGGGAAAGTTTTACACACTTCAGGTGACAGCACTCTTCCTGATGGGGGCCAGGGCCCTTGGGCCCCCATGTACTATGCTCTTCTGAATATTGTGCACAAGGTTTACAACTCTGCTCCAGGAACCTTGTGTGTTAGCACCCTGAATCACTGCTATTGGGACAGAAAGGATTTGCCTTTAAATCAGCTGCTTGGAGATCTATGGGCAATCTGCTTCATTCCTGCATGACTGATAACGTCATTCTCATGCATTAGTGCTATAACACAGGTACAACACCAACTACAACTCAGTTCTTGTTCATAGCATTATTAATTCAACACATCTTTTACAAATTTACTAGAGGAATTTTTGGTTTCTTTGCAAACAGAATATGCCAATAAACATGTCTCAATTTTTTCCCCATAAAAATCTTCCTCTCTACCTCTCATGTAAGGTGCAGGAAACTAGCAAAAGTCTGAGTTCAGATGACTTACTGGAAAACAAAATGCTCATCAAACATTGTTAAAGGGATACTTCCAAACTTTTGGGCTATCCAAATTTACCTTTTCTAATTCAGCAGGGGTGGAAAAAAACAGATTTGGAATTGAAGCAAGTACTACAAATAGAGGCAGGAATTGGCATTCCTCCGTATCACAGGTGTTGAGTTTGGGAGCAATATGCACATATGGGTTGATTCCAATTGATTCCAATGGGCTTTGGATCAGGGCCATAATTCTATTGCCAATACAGGGTTTTTTTTTATTTTATTCATTGTTCACATCTCTGGAAACAATAGCTAGTAGTTATACTGCATCCAGGGATCCTAGTTTTCTCTGATAAAAAAATCCCTAATTTTCAGGTTGAAAAAAGTAACCCCAAATCCACATTTTTCCATGTTCAAAATGAAATACTACTATATATACATCTATGTATTACAGGTGGTTCATTTTAATCATGGAAAAATGTGGATTTTGGGTTACTTTTTTAACCACAAAATTGGGGATTTTTTAAATCAGAGAAAACCAGGATCCCTGTGCAGCATCACATTAAGGCCTCCTTAAGGAGTGAAGAAGACAGGGTAAACTAGGGCTTTAGGGGTGAGTATAGAGAAAGATGGTGCACACTGAATGTCAGCTCAAAAGATTTCAGAAAAAAGCTTAACAAATAAATAAGTAAATATGTACTTAAATGAGTGAGCGGTAAATGTACTTAATATCAAAATGGATGGCTTACAACTTCTAAGGTGGTGTTAGGTCTGTTAAAATGATGTAAGTTTGATGGCATTGTTGGAATGAAGCACTAAGGAATTTCAGTCTTTGAAAGATACATGAAAATGGCTGAATCGAAATGGCTTTGTTGCTATTCTGAGAATCATAAAGGCACCCAGGTGCAGGGTGAAAAGTGAGTACAATTTGACTGCACAAGGAAATTGACAAATGTGTCCTATTTATAGCATATAGACACTTAGGAAGCTTTATTATACCGACACAGTTTTTGCGTGCTGTAGTTAACGTTGTGTCAGCACTTCCATTATACTGCCTATTTTTCAGTTTGTAATGGATAAAATTTTGGTCCAAACTGCAAACAGACATAAATCTTTTTTATTTTATTTTCAATAGAGTTTAGGTAAAAAAACACTGTCTGTTTGACCACACAAAAATCATACAAGTATATACCTCACATCTTTAACCATTAGGAGACTGAAAATATATATGCATGCACTTCTAAGCAGCAGTTTGGCTAGTAGCTTGGAAAATATTAGTATTTTAACTTGTATGAACAAACATGAAATGAAACAAGAATTGAAGAATACATAAAAGAGACTTTAAGGCCCAAAGCCAATTCCCCTATAGGTAGATAATTAGAACATATGTGGTTAGTTGTTTAAGTAGCATTTTGGGATGCTTATGCAGATTTTAAATCTTATTCCCCTTTGCAATTTGCCCTGAAAGTACATATATTCCATGCAAATCCCTGGAAAGTTAATCACAAAAAACTGGCAAATATTTGACAGAGGAGAAGGGACCCCTTATAACTCAACGGCCTAGTGGCTAGGCACCTCTCAGGAAGGTAGGAGGTCCAGTTTCTATACCTTTCCCCACATGCAGAGAAGGCTTGAATGTACATCTCCCACTTCCCAGCAAAAATTCCCTAACTACCAAGTTATGGACTAGGCATTGAAAAGGGCATCCTTCAGCCAAGGCATCACTG